TGCGGCCCGCCAAGCATTTCTCAACTACAGATTATTTTTCTAGATATTTTTTCAAATACGAATGTAAAGGCTAATTTTGTATCAGTAAAAACTGGTAAAAACTGTTGCTCGCAGAAAATAGCATTTCCTAATAAAAATAAATTTTAATTTGAATATTAGTTTAACAATATTGCAAGAAAAATTGAGAATTGTTGCGATTCCAAATGGTCAAAGTTAGCAAAACAGCTGTTTTCATTAAATGTTTTCTTCGCCATTTACCATGCAAAATAATACAGATTTAGAAAATTTATTTTTTCAGTAAACATCGCAATTTTTTATAAATCTCATGTCAGACCTGAGAAATTTTCGCTTTTGAAAAAAACTCAATTCAAATTATGATAAATTACTTTTTTGGAAGTACGTATGTGTGCGAACCATTACACAGATCCACAAAAGAAAAGTCGCTGGATAATAAATCATTCATTCAGAAAAAAATGCTAGATTGAAGATTGTGCCAGTTTTTAAATATTTTTCCATTTTTGACTATAATATTATATTCAGCGGTAAAAGTACATTGAAAATACATCGGAATACATATACATATACACACCCAATCCAGACAACATTTTTTTGTGGACCTGTGTAAGTTTTAGCCATGAAATTCATAAAAAATTACCACCTACTACTTTCCGCATTAAAAAAAAAATAATTAAAGAACAAATTTTAAATAAAACGGATGATATTAAGCAGCTTATATAAAAAAGCAGTTCCAAATTTCTTTAAAAGTTTTCAAGTAAATTAGTTTTTCTGTTTAACTATTATTTGTTTTTATTTCGTATTTATCTTTATAAACATTTATAATAGTCACTCGTAATTATATAAAATATATACTTATTTTGTATTTTTGTTCCTTTCTTGTGGCAATTTTGTAATTTAGTTGCAATTACATTATTTCCGCGCTCAGTCAACAAATCTTTTGACTTAATTTTAGTTCAGACTTTTGAGTATATGAGAAAACGTTTTATTTAAAAAGAATAAGCAAAATATTTTTATCATGGGTTGTACAAGCGTAACATTTTTTTTTTTTTTTTTTCTTTATTTTAATTTTCTTAATGCGGAATGGAAAACTACATACATCTCCAAATTTTAATTATTTTATAATAGTCATTTTAGTAGTCCAATCATTTTTTATTTAGCTCGGTAATCGATCAATTAACTATTATCGCCTTTTTTGTGAACGTTTTTAATTGAAATTCGATCAAGATTTTTCTGAGCTTATAAAACAGCTTAAATTTATCCGCTGCAACATTTTAAAAACAATTCTTATATGTTGGCAACGAAATGGTTACCCTCCATAAAACTAACTGATTTAGACTTATCCTACTGTACAAATATTTCCGATGTGCATTAGAAGTACATAGTTTTTGAATATCTTGCAGAAGGAGCAATTCTAGCAAAAAATAGAAATTTAATATTATAATCTGAAGATAAAACTGTTTGAAAAAGATAAAACTATTGAAATCTCACTCGTTTCGCTAAGCATAGCATAACTAAATTCAAATATGTATGTTAGTATTTTAGCGCTGTAGTGGGTAAATTATCAATGTAATATGTGTTAGCTGCCCCTTTCATTTATATACCCCATATTTATACATTCAGAATTAGTTAGTCAATTCTAATACTAATGATTTTCTAAAAATATTTCCTGTGGCTAAACGTTCGCCGGGTCGGCTAGTATAAACATAAATTACGTGCGGCCCGCCATAAAATTTTGAAAACCAAATTGGCCCGTGGGTTAAAAAGGTTGCTCGCCCTTGCCTTAGATCATAAGCGTTGAACCAAAAACCTTATAGAACATATGAATAGTAAGAGTTTTGATTGCTGTTGTAACAAAAATTAAAAAAAAAAATTATATCAAATCAATTTTGATTGATTATTTATCAAGGATACTCGGTTAATTCAATTATTTTAACATTGTTTTACTGTATTTTAGGCAAGTTATCGTTGACTTTTTGGATTTGACTTTGTTAAAAGACTGGATTTATGTAAATATGGTTATTGGAGTGACATTTGCACTATACTCCGACATAGCATTTTCTGCTATTCAAACAATGTATCTGTTTGCATTAGGCTGGTCAAAGGTAAGGCACAAAGTTGTAGATTTTTAATATTATTACACTACAGCAAAATATATTAAGAGTGAGTGGATAATTGAAAGCAATAGCAATCACTCGTAAATTAACTGTTATAGTAGTCAATAAATAATTGGGATTTGTTCAACTTCATTCATAAAGTAGTGACGCCAATATGTGAAAACCAACAATCATCCGCAGAAATTTGCATATATGTCTAATTTCAAATTATTCTATGTGATTTAGACTGATACAGCAATTTGTGTATCTGCCGCAGCAGCTGCAGATTTGTCATCAAGGATGTTTTTGGCAGGAATGACTGCTTGTGTTAAAGTCAGCAGTAGAACAGTATTTTTAGCGGGAGCTTTATTCTCAGTTTTCGCACGTATAGGTAAAGTTAATAAGTAGAAGTAAATTTATCATACCACGAAACAATTTCTGTTTCTGTTAATTTTATACAATTTCAAATTATTTCGGTTTAATTATAGTGTTCTTGTACGTGACTGACTTTACAATGATGCTTATAATATCAAGTTTTTTGGGATTCTTCCGTACATGGATTCATGTGCCTTTACCTTTAGTATTTGCCGAATATTTTTCACAGGAGAGATTTCCTTCAGCATACGGGCTGTTCATGTTCTTGCAAGGAATAATGACATTGGCTTTGGGTCCAATCGTTGGTAATTATAATATTTTTCAGATTTCAATTATTTTTAAATAAATATACAAGTCTGAAGTTTTGTAAAATTTCAGGGTTTATTCGAGATGCAACACACAGCTACATAATATGTTTTCATGCCTTGACTGTGTGTTTACTCATTTGCTGTATACCATGGCTTGCCGAGATGGCGTGGTTAAAAATGAAAAATAAGAAATAAATTTAAGAATTAAGTTAATATTAATAGCAAAATAATATAGATTATGTGAATTTTATCTTACGTATCATATGCCATGATAGAAATAATTTAAGTATTATTTTGGATTGTCACAGAAAATATAAATGACAAAATGAATGTTAACTAAAGTTGTAAGTAGCACTTTGCCTAAAGACAAGTTGCATAAACATTCCGATACATACACGTAATACATGTACACGTAATAAAGAATTGAGATTCTACTATTTAGATAAAACATTCAACCGTTTATGAAATTAAATTAATTTGTTTAACACATTATATTTTATATATCTTATTAAAGTGTGAATGTCAACGGTAAACACCCACAAAACACAAAAGTTACAAATGCTTTGGCAAAAATTCTGATTAGAATCGTTTAAACCCAGGGCGTCATGATTTTTTATAATTCAACCGCTTATCATAAGCCTAAGATATTTTATTATGTTATCCCATACTTTCAAATCAATCAGTATACAAAGTTTCATCAAAATCGAGAACTTATCAAGAATCTTAGAATAATAAGCTTATAAATTTACAAAATTTAAGACAAAAAATAGATATTTCAACTACAAGTTCAACAAATTCTTCAATATATTTTACTTCTTATCTATTATTTTAAAAAAAAAATTTGATCAATCCGAGAATTTATATTATAGAAAAAAACAATGGTAAAATAAAAAAAGCATCATGAGATCCTAAATTCTTAAAGAAAAAACAAACATTATTCTTCGAAATTGGTACATTTCGACGATTGGATTAACAAATAAAGTAAAATAACAAGGTTGGACGTAAACTTTATAAAACTAAATATTAATAGTCTAGTCATTGTAGTAAGTTCACCTCGGAATTGTAAATGGAATTGTAAGCTGTAAGTCTGTAAATACCCTGAAAGTTGACTCAAAAGCTACATATGGTAGGGTGTACGTACCATATGTAGATTTGAGACAACTTTTAGGGTGCTATTTTAGGGTATTTACAGCTAGGTATCTCAAATTCCGGGATTCTTACCTAATTTAAGCTTAAATGACTGGACTATAAGTCTCATTGGTCTCATTGCGCATTGTATTACATTAGTATGTATTTCCTGAATTTAATTATTAGAGCCAGAACACCCGATAAATGAGATAAATTGATCAAATGATCTCTCTTGATCCAATCTTGATAATTTCTTTTGTTGCACTACCAATATATCCACTAATACGAGCGCAGACGATATTTGTTCAAATTTGTCAAATACAAACTTACTTATACCCTTGTTAAGACCTAATAATTCTGATTTAATTCATTGAATTAATTTCAATTATTTATAACATGATTGACGCTGGTGGATCAAATTGTCGTATGTAATGCAATGTATTGTTTTGCGTACGCAAATAATCCTTGGCCCGTAAACAATATGACTTTCCTTTATTATATTCAGTGGGAACTTTGTCCACTTAGAGACAATGTGAGATATTAGCATATCATGGTAATTTGAATGCTTTTTTGTTTACCGATTAATTAAATTGAATGTAAAGTCACCGCTGTTATATAAAGCAGATAATCGTCCATCTTTATAGGAAATGTAAAGATAAAAGATTGCTAGTGGGATGCATGGCATTGTGCCTTAAGGAAAATTGCTGGAACTTTCCGTACCGTAATTAAAAATCTTGGTACGGAACCTAAAAAAAATTACACAAAATGTGTACACTTTATGAAAATCTCTATAAAATATCTGATAATTTGATGTGCATATGTCTAATGATCATTTTTGACCGCCAAATTTAATTTTTTAAACTTATTTTTATTGAGAGTCCATAACCGCTGAACCTGCCTTTCTAAAAATTTAATCAGTTCTTCATCTTATCAATACAAGTAAAATGTTTTTTAAATAATTAAAATCGTACGCCCCGTTCTCTTAAAAGCTGATTGTGAGTTGCCGTTTTCGGCACTTTTTCCCCGTATCTTTGCAACTGCTAGACCTGCCGCCGCCAAAAACTAATCAGTATAATCCAAAATTATCCAAATCGGTTATTCCATACTGTCGAAAATGTCGAGCACATTTGTTTGAACTATATAAATAAACTTCAAAATTAAAAATCTTGGTATGGAACCCAATAAAATTTACACAAAATTGCGTACACATTATGAAAATATCTATAAAATATCTGATAATTTGATGCCAAAAGGCATCTTTTCAACTTTTATTGAGAGTCCATAGCCGCTATACCTGCCTTCCCAAAAAATTAATCAGTTTTTTATTTTGTCAATACAAGTAAAATGTTTTTTGAGTTATTAAAATCGGCCGCTTCGTTCTCTTAAAAACAGAGTTATCGTTTTTGGCACCTTTTGCCCCGTATAGACCTGCCTTGCCCCGTATAGATCAAATATATTAGACAAAGTGCAATTTTTCGATCGTACCATTTTAATCTAATTAATAGTTTCTAAGCTATTACAAATGCGGATCGAATATATATGAGCAACTTGAGAAACTATTCCTGAAAATGATCGGATGCTCTATAATTTAATTTTTGCATGAACTACAATAAACTTCAACAATACAAAATAAAGTATGTAAGTCGTGCAGGACAGCACGTACACAATCGTATAAAAAATGCAATAAAATTAGCAATTATAATCCGATGCACATATCGCCATAATCACCATAAAATGTAATTGAGGCAGGCTAGCTTCCAGCTGGCTGACATACATCAACTAAACTTTTAACATATTTGATGGTATAATGATGTCGAAAATAACTTATGGAAAAACAAAAGCCATACAAACACCCCGTATTCTAATCAACTTCCCGTAGGGCAAGTTATAGTAATCGCAAAAAAATCGAGATTGAAAATTTTTATATATCTTTAGGCATACCTTATTAGAAAAAATGGATGTATGTGTGTGTATGTGTGTGTGTGTGCGGATACAAATTTTGGTCGACGATTTCGGGAACACCAATCAACTGATTTAAATAATTCAAAAAACATTCGATTCATACTGATATGGAGACGTGCTGATTAGTTTTTGACGGGGGCAGGTCCAGCCGTTCCGAAGATACGGGCCAAAAAGTGCGAAAAACGATAACACGGTTTTTAAGAGAATAGAGCGTCCAATTTTAAAAATTCAAAAAACATTTTACTTGCCTTAACAAGGTGAAGAACTGTTCAAATTTTCATGAAGGTCTAGCGGTTTCGGAGATCTAGTAAAAAAAGTAAAAAAAAATGCCATTTGGCGGTCAAAAATGATCATTAGACATATGCACATCAAATTATTAGATATTTTAACAATAAGTATAAATTTTGTTTACATTCCTATGAGTTTCGTACAAAAGTTTATCCGCTAGACGGCGACGCGGCGCTTACGCGCTCCGATATTTCGTCTCTATGCACAGTTAAAGCAGTACGATTGCTTTGAAAAAAAGCTCAGAATTTCCAAAATATTTCAAAATGAATTTTTCTTCGAAAAGTCTTTTTTTTTTTAAAAAAAGTGAATTTTTTTCAAAAATTTATAGTTTCTCAAAAATCTATTTTTTTCAGTGTAATTTTTTTACAAAAATGTTAACCTTTTTAAAAACAAATAATTTTTGGTACGGAAAGTTCTAGCAATTTGCCGTAAGGCACGACGCCATGCTCCCCACTAGTTTTAATCAAGAACTGAATTTCGAGATCGATTCCTCGCTGAATTCAAATTTACATCCGAAATTAATGGAAACAGACCATCACTTGAAATCCCAAAATTTTGCAAGCATGATTTTACTTCCAGCAAACAAAGAAATCATACAATTAAATTCTAAGAGTCTAAGGTAAGACTTTACTACAATGTATCATAATATATCACCATAGGATCCTACTCAGCCAAGAGTGTACAATCGCCAAAACTAATCTACCTGTTAAACTGGAGGCACAAGAAAAAATGAAAAACGAATTAAAAAATATTATTTCCTACGTTCAATATTTTTTATATAATTCTGTAGATGATTTATTAAAATTTCTCAACAAAAAGTTAATAGAATGTAGAGCCACAAGAATAAAGTACATTGTTGTTGAAAGAAAATACCTTAGTTTAGATTAAATTAATAAACCATAGACATGAATAATCTGGTAAATAGGATATTATCACAAGTTATATAAAAACTCAAATAAACAATATCAATTTTTTTTATCCTAATTATCCTAAATCAGGATGCTTTCATTGTACTGAGTGCAGCAAAATGATTTTTTTTTCCAAGTATATATATATATATATATATATATATATTTATTTATAAATGTTTATACGTCATAGGCTATGTGCAGTAAATTTATAATATTATGTGTAATATTATAAATTTACTGCATAATAATCTTATAACTTAAAAATCTACTAATATAAGATATAATAGAATATATATAACATAATACTTTGTTAACATAATCTAATAATTAATTACACATATTATTTTATTATATAGATGCACTTTAAAGTTTTAATTTTTCTTGTTAACTTCCCAAAAATTAGTATCGTTTTTTGGCATTTGTAAAATTATTACTTTGATCGACGTTTTCTCAAAAATGTCTGAACCGATTTCAGAAATTTAAAAGCCATTTGATGTATCTCAATGAGAGCTATCGTTTGTCAGTTTTGTGCGACGATCTGCCAAGCTGTTTCTTTGTAATTTGAAAATACGTGTTAAACTTTTCGTCCACATTTAAGCTCATACTACCGAATCGATTTTAAAAAATCAAAAACTCTTCGAAAGATATTAGTTGGGAATGATGCTGATTGGTTTTAGGTGAAAATCTACCGAACGGTTTTCTTGAAATTAACTGTTAAACAAAAAGTTTAAGCCGCACTTACTGAAATATTGCGGTCTTACGACAAGTAGTTTAAATTCAAAAATTCATTAAAGTTTGAGAAAATGAGTAGATTTTTTTGACGTTTGTTAAAATTAAAATTACACGATTTACATAGTTTAACAATAGAGTACTTGGTCTTAATGAACATACTAAGCCTTTGAAGTACTACGGAAACTGGTTGAATTATAAAAATTATTAATTTTTTAAAATTTGCTTTTAGAAAATACTCCGAGTGTTAGTACGTTTTTAATTATCTGCAATAAATACACTCGGAATACTTTTAATCACTCATAAATTAATTTATTTTTAATTGATGTAGTATGCAAAGTTTGACACGTACTTTTTCATTCAGTTTATTAAGTAATTGTTATATATATATATATATATATATATATATATATATTATTAATAAAGCAAGTCTTGTTAAATGTAGAACTAAAGCAATACTTTGTACCTTGAACTTGCTTATTGGAAACTTTAGAATTACTCAATTTCATTATGTAAGTTTGTTCACGAATTTATGAGAAAAGAGAATTGCATTGTACTATCACTTTCGAATTAAAATAAATTAACAATCGTTTTTGAATGAAATTTGATTATATGTCGGAAATTTATTTTACATGCTAGAATCAACTCACAGGTCAGTAAATTTAAAATGCAGATTCATTTCGCTCTTGTTGTCAATATTGTGTGAGGTTGAGTGCGAGTCCAACCCACACAAGGTAATACTGATATTAAACTTTTAAATAGTATAGTGGACATGTCTTCAGAAAAGCTTTTTATGATAGGGTAGATCGGAGCTTATGAATCCGCCGGTAAAAAGGTCCATCACCGATATTTTAAAAACCAGTTAAAAATTTGTTACCAACAATATTTGAAAGTAGAGGGAAAAAGCATGCATAAACAAACACCACCTTGATACTTACGACATTGCTATCGGGAAAAAAACGGCAATGTTTAAAAATCCATGACAAAAGTATGTTCTTGCGTTGTTATTTATATTGTTGTTCGCTGTTGCAATTGTTGCTTAGTTTTACAGACTTGAATATAATTTAAGTATACGTTATTTGATTATTTTATAAGTTGTATTGTTAATTTTAAGTTAAACTCAAATATTTTATATAACCTTTTTAAAAGCTTACGCTTGAATGGGGTAAAAAAGACCGAACTCAGGCATACCTATAATTCAAGAACAAATAATAGTGGTTAGCCAACAAATGTAAAAATTAAATCCAACTCTGCTTATGAAATACCAGATCAAGGCTAATTACAGTGTTATTTTTTTAAAACTTTAATTGCACCCATGAAATTTATATTTTGCATTGGTTCAGTAATGTAGCTATTACTTTGTAAAAACCCTTTAAAATTAAAATAAAACAATGGACCTGTTTGCCCCTGTTCATCCCAACTTAATCTGGGTACGGGATAAAAAGGACCAGGTTACAAATTTATGAAGAACAGCAAGAAATACATTTCTAGAGTGATAAATTAGATGGGATTTTTACTAAACATAGTCATATAGTTGTTTGTTTGATATGCGTTATTTGTTATGATATAATTGTTTCACAATATAATTGCTCATTGACTTTTACCCCCGCCCTACCCTATCTAACTACTATGAAATGATGGAATAAATTGCTTAAATTTTATTTGTTAAAGTATGTTCAGAAAACATAAAAAAAACGACATATTGTCAAAATCATAAGTCGTAAATCCTAGGTCCATTAAAAACGTTATAAATTTAGATTTTGTCATGTCCCAGAAACTATTAATAATGAATTCAATACATGATAAAATATGACTAATCAAGAAGTGCGATCACTTATACATCAGAATGCAGGTTAAATGCGGTCAAAAAATTCGTCATTCACAAGTATTATATTATATATATATATATATATATATAAATAAATATAAATTAGGGAGGGTCGATTTAAATGTCGCTCAGACACATAGGATTTTCTAATACTAGGGATCAAAATAAGGCACTTTGCTGAAGAAACCATTCCGTTTTCGTCCATTTAGAGTGCCACAATCGTGTCCAAATGTACGACCCCACCCCCACTAAATTACAAAGAACGATCCACCCATGCCCATCATTCAACCCCTGACACCCATACAAAAATTGCAAAAAATTACGTTTTCAGAATTTGACCCAATCATTGGGTGAATGCATGGGACATCAGAATTCATTTTAAAGATATGGTTTCTTCGACAAAGTTTCTTATTTTGATCTCTAGTATACGAAAATCAGCCTTAGCGACTTTTTTTTACTCATAAAAAATCGACCCACCCTAATATATATATATATAGCCAAATTTCTGATTGAACGTTATTCTTATATTAGCAGCATTATTAGTCAAAAATATATGCACAATAAATAATAATAAAAATCTTCTCCAGAAGTTTTGAATATCAAATCAAAAGAAATCAGTGCAGCAGTTTTTGAGAATACGTCGACCAAAGGTCAACTTTTATCCATATACCCAAACACACATACTTTTCCAGAACTGATGCCAAAAGGTTTATTGTAATATATTTGATTTTCAACAAATTGAAATAGTTATCAGAGTTGATAGCTCTTACCGCAAAAATCATTTCTGATTTCATACTTTATTACAAAGAAGTCAAATAGAAATATTGTGCCACTTCTTGCCATAAAAATATACATACAACAATGTAGAAAAAAGACAGATATGAAATTTAATCGAAAAATTTAAACTAAAAAGACATGAAAGTTATAACGCATGCAATATGTTCCTCAAGTTGCATTTTGAACAAGTAACATTATCATGATCTTAATGATTTTAAATTTTAATGATCAAAATTGACTTAGTAATGCAGAGTCAAAGCGTTGTATTTACCACAATACAAAATATATAATCTATTTCTTTTAACGAAAAAATTGAATTAGTCATTATTGAATTAGTGATGAGTCAAAAATCTAATTTCATACTAGTGAATAAATTCTGTTTCTTCTATTATTCTAGTATGTAGTGCAATCAGACAATACTTAGCAATTGAAATTAAACTTGAATTAATTAATACAAACAAATCATAACAAATGTACTTGAACAAAGGACAAAATGTATAATGGAATAATTTTTGGTGTCATCAATTATCGTCAAATTACGCTCCTGTTCACGCATATATAAATATTTTATTCGAACAACGTAATGAATTTATAATCCACCTTTAATCACAATTGCTCGATAAATACCCGTGCTAATAGAAGCGATAGTCAATCATTGATCGATCATCCATCAATGACGATCAGTATTGTAAACCAAAAAAAATCAAACGTGATCATTAAACAATATTAGGTACATCACTATCCGCAATTTGTGCGGAGGATTTGTCTCAAGTGTAAAAATAATAGTTCAAAATGTCTATGATAATTGAAAGTACGACTTGGGGATGGGGTATGGGTTTAAGTTCAACGCCAATTTTGGCAGCACTATTAGTGGTTTCGGCAGTTCTATATGCTATCCATTACTACCAAATGCAAAGTAGGCTGCGCAAACTAGGAGATAAAATTCCAGGACCACCAACTGTACCATTCTTAGGAAACGCCTTGATGGCTTTGGGAAAATCTCCTCATGGTGAGTGGAAATTTATTATAAGGCTTTTATCTATCTTAAATAGAACATTAATGATCAAAATATAGTAACAACTTTAGAGATTTTTTTTCATCATTTTATCGTTGATTGACAATGCAAAGCCATGTGATTACCAAATACTGGTTAATTACCAACCATTTCTTATAAAGTTTTCAAGAATTTAATGTGAAATCATTGTTTTCTAGAAATATTATCAAATTGTCATCTTTTGCTCATGATATGTTTCTACCTTTGTAAGAAAAGATATCGCATTCAAAATCGTGTTAACAAGATTGTTTATTAACATGTTTCATCTTTCTATTACAGAAGTGTTGCAGACTGCCCTCAAAATGTCTATGGATATAAAAGACTCTGTTGGCAGAGCATGGTTCGGCAACAAATTGATTGTTTTCTTGTGGCATCCTGATGATGTTGAAATTGTCTTAGGTAGCCACGTTCATATTGATAAATCAGATGAATACAGATTCTTCAAACCTTGGCTTGGAAACGGTCTACTCATCAGCACAGGTAATGAAAAAGAAACTGAATGATCATATAACATGGTCACATAACAAAACAATATTAATGTCCATATTTATTGTTTCGCTCTTAGGAGAAAAGTGGAGAGCCCACAGAAAACTGATCGCCCCTGCCTTCCACCAAAATGTATTGAAGAGTTTCATTCGAGTATTCAATAATAACAGTCGGGCTGTTGTTCAAAGATTGCAGAAAGAAGTTGGCAAAGAATTCGATGTTCATGATCATTTAAGTCAGACCACAGTCGATATTTTATTGGGTTAGTTTTCTAAAAAAAAATAACATCCTAGATTTATATCGCTAATACACACCTGAAATCTTAAAACAAACTAAGATTACAATCGTCAATCTCCATTGATTTTTCTTTTATTATTAAAAGTGTTAAACCTTTTATTATTAATAGTATGGAATTGTTTTTTTCAATTTTTCAGAAACTGCTATGGGAATCAGCAGAAAAACACATGACCAATCTGGCTTTGACTATGCTATGGCTGTCATGAAGTAAGAATTTTATTCTAACAAACTAAAATTATATAAAATGTTTTCAGTATTAATTGTATTTTCTTTATATCATAGGATGTGTGAAATTTTGCACTTGAGACATTACAAATTATGGTTACGATTTGATACAATTTTCAACTGGACTAACTTCGCAAAGAAACAAGAACAACTACTAGGCATTATTCACGGTTTAACTTCAAAAGTAAGTCATAGAAAATTTGGAATTTAATAAACAACATTATTTTATCAGTATCGGTATTTTGCCTTGAGGCAAGTTACGTGCCCTTCCCGATATGTCTAAATAATCGACTTAATCATAAAAAATAAATTAATTTATGAGAGATTAGAAGTATTCTGAGTGAATTTATTATATATAATTAAAAACGAACGAACACGTTAACTCGGAGTATTTTCTAAAAGCAAATTTTCAAAAATCAATGATTTTTATAATTGAACCAGTTTTCGTAGGACTTTAATGGTTTAGTATGTTCATTAAGATCAAGTACTCTATGTTATACCAAGTAAATCGTCTAATTTTAATTTCAAACCTCAAAAAAACTCCTCATTTTCTTAAACTTTAATGATTTTTTAAAATTAAACTACTTGTCGTAAGGCCGTAATATTTCAGTAAGCTCTATAAGACCATGATATATAGCGCCAAAAAATGTTCCATAAAAATCGGCCTGATTTTTTTTTTCAACAGTTAATTACAAGCTCGGTAGATTTTCCCCTAAAACTAATCAGTATCGTACCCAACTAATATCTTTCGAACAGTTTTTGAATTTTTAAAATCTATTCGGTAATATGCTTAAATGTGGACGAAAAGTTTAAGAATTTTTTCTAAATTACAAAGAAACGGCTGGACCGATCGTCGCACAGAGACAATAATTATCATTGAGATACATCAAATGGCTTTTAATTTTCTGAAATCGGTTCAGGCGTTTTCGAGCAAACGTCGATTCGGCGCAAAAAAATCTGTTCACATTTTCTAAATTAGTCTCATTCGATTCAGAATGGCTTGAAACGTCGAGAAAACATACTTCTTCGGAAAAATAATATATCATTACTTGTTCTGAAAGAGAATGAATCATTCCACGCCTCTAATAAAAATTGATGATGATGGTTTCAGGTATTGAAATTGAAAAAAGAAGAATTCATTCAAAACAGCATTGATGGAAAATATTCTCCAGACTATTTCAAAAAGATCACTGCTGAAACTGAAAGGGAAAATGCAAGAGAATTGAACACAAACCAACCAAAAACTGGATTACGTGACGATTTGGATGACATTGACGAAAACGATGTTGGTAAGTTGATAAAAAATAAATTCTGTCCTTTTGGCATTCATTTAATATTTTGATGCAGAGAATCCTAATATATGTTCCTTATAGGTGAAAAACGTCGTTTGGCTTTCTTGGACCTTATGATTGAATCTGCTCAAAATGGCGCTCCCATTACTGACAAGGAAATCAAAGAACAAGTTGATACCATTATGTTTGAGGTAAAATATATCTTTATAAGTTATGTTTCATAAAAATCGTGACAAAATATTCTGATGATTTTTAATAATCGTAGTTGATGAAGTCTCCGATCCTTTAAACTAGAAAAATTGCCCTTAATGAAAATATCGCAAGATCATAAATCTGATTACATGCGGCATAAAAAATGTATTCAAATATATTCTTTGAAAAAGCAACAGATTTAAATTTAATCGAGCAAGGGTTAAAAAAGTGCAAGTTAATTATCAAAACTTTTCAGAGCAATTCGAACACTTAATCATCGTTTTAAAAAATATTGTATGTTAATTTTATTCATGGTAAACTCCTTCACAAAAAGTATAATAATTCATTATCATACATTAACAATGCTATTCGGCGAACAAATAAGATCAAATGTCGCATATGCATTTTAATAAAATTCATTAATTAAGAATTACAAGGTGCAAATGATTCTTCAGTTTTTCGGTGACCTCTGGCTGTTAATTATTACAAGTGTTTATGTTAATATATTTCTTGTTTTGGATAAATAATTTTGTGGAATAAGAAGTATATCGGATTCGATCCATTTCTGAAAGAAAAATGATTATAAACATTTATGATAGTTATTCGAAAAATTATTTTGATCAATCGAATAAATAGTAACCGATCTGCAATAATAGTTTATAATCAATTTAATATCTATAACTTTTCGAATTACTAAGATAAATACGCCTAAAGTTTTTGATGTCAATATCAAATCAATATCAACTTTTGAAAATTTTGTAATATTTTGCTAAGTTCCACTTTTATTTAAGATCAAATATAACACATATTTCAAATCTGACCAGTTGAATAATTTTGAAAATTTCAACTTTTAATAATTTTGGCATATAAAAGAGTTTTTTTTTCTTTTTTTTTAACAGCAATCAGAACCTTACGTCCTATGAGCTGTTGGGCTGAAACTTCTCCTTTCTTCGTATTTTTTAGATGGTAACCCAATGGTTAATCCATCCATATTTGATGATTTTTTGTTATTAGATTTAATCTAATAGGGCTGACTTTTTATTGGTGCAGCAATGCCGGGCAAGGGCTATTTTTACTTAGAAATATATTGCTATCTATATTTCCAAGTGAAAATCGTTGTCAGTGCTGCCTGACAACAGGCTGCTCGAAATGGGTATCGAACCCTGCACCTTTTATTCAGGTCCCACAGCTCTCAACCGCTTACCTACAGGCTAACCCAAATAAAAAAAATTGGATCAATTTTCTCTCTCGGTTCTAGGGCCACGATACCACTGCCGCCGGATCAAGTTTCGTCATGTGCTTGTTAGGAATCCATAAAGACATCCAAGACAAAGTATACCAAGAAATCTATGATATATTTGGAGACTCCGATAGAGATTGCACTTTCGCTGACACCTTGCAATTGAAGTATTTGGAAAGGGTTATTTTTGAATCTCTTAGGATGTACCCACCAGTACCAATCATCGCCAGGACACTTAAACAAGATGTTCCACTTAGTAAGTAAAAGACAAACTTCCAAACTCATTTGTGAAAACTAAGAACTAATTTCCCCTGAATCTATTTCTACTGAATTTTGCATAAATCAAAGTAACTTCTGCAGACATTACCATGTTGCTTAATTTCATTTCAGAATCTAAGAATCTAGTTGTACCAGCAAATTGCACTGTAGTTATTCCCACACTCAAGATGCACCGTAATCCCGATATATTCCCAAATCCTGATGTATTCAATCCTGATAATTTCTTGCCCGAAAATAGTTCATCCAGACATTACTACAGTTATATTCCATTCAGTGCTGGACCAAGAAGTTGTGTTGGTGAGTAACATACATTCTCCAGTAAAACTATTTTTTAATCACGAAAACCTTTAAAAAATATTAATTTTGGATTTGGTTTTTGATATTTTCCCATATAATAAATTATTGAATGTAAGGATTGATACTTGTTCTAAATCTGATGTGCCAATAATACATTAGATGATAGACAGGACTAGAAACACATCCCAAGTCTTTTTGAATGGTTGTTCTATTAACTGCGGATTCTAGCATTATTTTATACAAATCTCCAATTTCTTCTATAGAAGTTATATTGCTTTCTTTTTTATTTAGTTAGTTTATTTATTTGTATTTCCTTCACAGGTCGTAAATACGCAATGTTGAAATTGAAGGTCTTGATCTCCACAATTTTGCGTAATTACCGCATTAAGTCAAATCTGACAGAAAAAGATTTCGTATTGCAAGGTGATATTATTCTAAAGAGGACTGATGGATTTAGGATTGAAATTGAACCAAGAACCACAAAAGTTTGTTGAATGTTGACTGACTCCTGCTGTTAAATTTATTTAGATAATATTAAAACTGTTAAATAATGTCTATGTATAGAAGAATGTTGAATTTTATAAATAATTAAAATATTATAATATTTATTTTATATAAATGTATACATATGTTTATATATGAATATAAATTAATATTTTGCATGTATTGTTGATGATGTATATTATATATAAATATAATACACGCTGACAATAAATTTCCTTTTTTAATTATTTCGAATAAATTTTTACTTTCAGTTCTAATAATCAATTATAATAAAAGTGATATAAATTTTTATAAGTTTATGTGATATCCATACGTTTATGCGCTGATTAAGAATTTTTATTTGTTTATTATTTGACGATTTTTTTTTTTTTTTTTTATTTATTTTGCAATATATACATCTCCATATCTCAGTCAGACAGGGGTGCATGGTATGTATGAATTTTGGCATACCTTAGAAAAAATGAACGTGTGTGTGTATGTGGGTGTGAGTGTGTGTGTGCGGATACAAATTTTCGTCGACGTCAATCAATTAATCGTTATACATTAATAAAAATGGTATAATTTTTTATAAGTGTATGTGATATCCATACGTTTAATTATTTATTATTTGACGAATTTATGGAACTTTTCAGATTGATAACGTTCATGATCTGAACAAAAGTCTTATAATAATATTGTCTTACTGAAAGTGGTTTAATTATAAAATTTAAATTTAATTATGAAAATTAAAATTTGGAATAATAGGCCGTTTCAAAATAGAAAATTTTCTCGTCATAAATTTAAATTCGATTATTCATACACATATCGGAAAGTTGTTGCAACTTGCTTGAAGAAAAATGCCTAGTTATTTATTAGACCAAAAATATTTTTTAACTTATTCAAATAAGTATATGTATAATAAATAATCTAATAAATAGCTAGTAGTAAGTGGCATTTTCCCTTTAAGGCAAGTTGCAAAAACTTCCCAAAATCAATTAATCAAATTCAAATTCAACGAGGAAAAAGCTGGAATTGCATTGATTTTTATTAGATTAAAATGTACTAATTAAATATGTGTTTTTTCGCTGTTTTTCAAGAAATTGTAATCTGGTCCTTCTTGTCCCTCAAGGGTCCAATAGTCCAATGTATTATTTTAATTTCAAAGGAATTTTACAAAATAAAAGCTACAGATACAAATTTTTGTCGACGATTTAGAGAACACGGTTCAAGCGATTTCAATAATTCAAAAAACATTCGATTGCTGTTTATAAGGAGACGTGCTGATTTGTTTTTGGCATAGGCAGGTCTAGGCGTTACGAAGATACGGGGCAAAAAGTGTCACAAACGGTAACTCGGATTTTAAGAGAACGGAGTGTCTGATTTTAATAATTCAAAAAACATTTTACTTGATTTGGCAAGATGAACAACTGATTAAATTTTCATGAAGGCAGGTCTAGAGGTTTCGAAGATCTAGTGAAAAAAGTAAAAAAAGCCATTTGGCGGTCAAAAATGATTATTAGACATATGCACATAAAATTATCAGATATTTTATAGAGATTTTATTAACAATAAGTATAAATTTTGTTTGCATTCCTATGGGTTCCGTACCAATGTTAGTCCGTTAGATTGCTTTGAAAAAAGTTGATAACTTCCAAAATATTTCAAAATAAAGAAAACATTTTTTCGAAAAGTCTTTTTTCAAAAAAATTTTTTTTTTTCAAAAATTTATGGTTTCTCAAAAATCTAATTTTTTCAAACTAAATTTTTTTCAAAAATGTTAATCTTTTTAAAAAAAAAATTGTTACGGGAAGTTCCAGCAATTTGCTGGAATGGTACTGTTGTTGCCATGTGCTCCACCAGTTTTAAAATGTAACCGTCATATTATGTCAATATTTTTGACAAATGTCAAAAATAGAAGCTGTCAGTTTGACAGATAACGTCCACGCTACAAAACGAAAACACCTAACCTTTATACATAGTTTTATTCATTAATCATGTATAGTTTAAATAATATTTAGTATGTATTTTTAATTTTAACAAAGTGACATACCATTTATATATAAAATATAAAAATTAATATAATAATTCTATTGCCAAAGAAGAAGATTGTGTGATAAGAACTACCATGTAGTACAAAACAAGTATAATTTACTTAGGAACAAGCGACAAAAATCCGTATAGAAAATATGGAATCTAAGATAAATATTGACGATAATTCCAAGACCAAATCGAATGAACAAAGTATTAAATTTTTTGGACTAGATTTAACCAATTACTCCCCAACTAACCGATTTCTTGTGTGCTGTGTTGGAGTTTTCTTTTTTTATCTGCTTTATGGCTATTTACAAGAATTAATTTTTACTCTAAAAGGATTCGAACCTTATGGATGGTTTCTGACTTTAATACAATTTTTTTACTATAGCATATTTGGATTAATTGAAATTAATCTGACTAATAATTTTAAAAGAAAGATTCCTATGAAGGTTTATTTATTGTTGGCTGGTTTAACACTTGGCACAATGGGATTTTCAAATGCTTCTCTTGGTTATTTAAATTATCCCACCCAAGTCATATTTAAATCATGCAAGCTTGTGCCAGTATTAATAGGCAGTATTTTAATTCAAGGCAAACGATACAAAGCTTTGGATTTTGTAGCGGCTATATTGATGTGTGTGGGATTAACTGAATTCACTTTAGGTATTATTAACATAGCTAACCATCAAAAACAAATGCAGCATGTAGCTACATTTTAATACTTCCATTACACTAATTTTTAATTATTGATCACAGCTGATTCTAGAATGTCTCCAAATTTTAACACAACGGGCATAATCATGATTTCATTAGCATTGTTATGTGATGCTGTCATAGGAAATGTTCAAGAAAAAGCAATGAAAGACTTTTCAGCTACAAATGCAGAAGTAGTATTATACTCGTATTCCATTGGATTTGTATATTTGCTTGTAATACTATTGTTGTCGAACAACTTATTTAATGGAATACAGTTTTGCTCCATGGTAAGTATTAAAATCTCAAATGATTTTGTAAACAGAAGGAGGTAGTTTAAGAAATAAGATATTTTAATTGTAAGTGAAAAGAAATTTACTTGATTTATTTCAGCATCCATATGAAACATATGGCTATGGATTGTTATTCAGTTTAACTGGCTACTTAGGTATACAAATTGTTCTAACATTAGTACGAACATGTGGTGCACCCACAGCTGCTTCGGTAACAACAGCAAGAAAAGGAGTCACTATAGCTCTTTCATTTGTATTTTTCAACAAACCTTTTACTATGCAGTAAGTATTTAATTTTATTTAACACCAACTACATTATACTTTGAATATTAAAATGTTAAACCATTTTTTGCTTCAGATATTTATGGTCTGGTGGTATAGTCCTCGCAGGAATTTATCTAAACATGTATAGCAAAAGGAATCCAGATGCATTTAATCAAATTAAGCAAAGTTTTAATAGGTTATATTATAGTATTAATGATAGAATTAAAATACGAACACATTCATCTAACAGAAGGCTGTTAATCAATATATAATTAAAAGTGATAAATTGCCATAGATAAATAAACAAGTTTATAATGAAGACTTTTTTTCTTGTATAAAAAATACAAGTTATAAACAAAATTTTATTTTTAATTAATCAAGATTTTCTTTTTAACGACTTTTCACTTTTGCCCTTGATCATTATAATAGTTGTACAATTATTATATTGATAATACTTAAATATTAAATACAAAAATACTAATGTTTCTTTACGCATATAGATCGAGAAATCTGGTATAATAGTAATAAATGTTGTACCCTAAGTTTTCTCAAACTATTGCTTAAAAATTAAGCAATTTGTTAATAAATTGAGTGAAAATAAATTCTGTTAATATTCAATAGAGCCTTGTGATACTAATAAAGTCTTTGAAACCTTGAGAATAAAAGAAAAGATTTGGATGTAAAGTAACATATTCACATATAATGTGATCAAATAAAAATTTGAAACAATGTGCAAATGTCTTAACCAAAATCAAACACTAACAATTAATATTAAGTATACAAAACTTACATAACTGCCATTTTCTCTCAACTGCACAAGTATTAAAAAATCCCATGATTTGAAATTTTATGAGAAACACTATTTTTCACTATCACTTTTCTTTCCTAAACTGAGATCTTATTTAATTTGAGGTCCTAAAACTGGTGTTAACCTCTGATAAGTTTGACTTAACGGCCAAATCGCTAAAAACCGTTAACAAGAAAGTTAAAATTCTGGCGCGCGATTTAAAAGTTTTGTAGTAATTATTTTTATGTATTTTGAAATAATATATAAAAGAAATATTAGTACAATTAATGCATTAATTTAATTACGCAATTAAACATTATTTTCATACACTAATGAGCAAAAATGATTTTTGATTGAAGCAAAAATGGACTCGATTGTGATTATACCTAGTATAGGCAAGAATAAATTATATAAGTAATTTAAGTATATATTTAATATATTTCTTTAAAATGTAAAATACAAGTAGAAAAATTCAGAATAACATATAAGTCAGTCCAATGTTAAAACCGATGTCATTAGCAGGCCCTGAAATGAGATAGAATATTTATTGATATTTTCTTGATTCATTGATATTTTCTTGATTCATTGATATTTCCTATACATATATCAATAAATTATTAAAATACTTAATTCTGAAGTTTTTTTTGCTATAAATACATTTCTTATTCTTCTATTGAGAGCTATTCTTAAGAGTAATTTTAAAATTCAATTGCAATTACTCTTTAAATGCTTGAAACCATATAATTTTAAGTAGCAAAACATTTTAAGAAACATTTAATTTAATAAAATATTGCTAATATATATGCCAATAAATCAACTGCATCAATGTACATTCATATCACAAATACAAATAAATGGAAATATATATAAAAATTATTCTATAATTATGATGATTATCGAGTATAATTGAGATGTATTTATGTATATATATGTATATATATATACATATATATATTTATATATATATATATACATATATATTTATATATATATATACATATATATACATATATATATATTTATATATATATACATATATATATATATATATATATATATATATTATATACCTAAACCGTTTGCTAATTTTTATGTTGAAAAAGTTTATACATGTGAGTCTTATAGCCTTCAAATGCGGATATTGATAACATTTTGCCTCTGTTGTTCGAAGATATTGAATTTAGAAAACAAATATTAAGACAAACCAAGTAATAATTTTCTGATAAATTAAGTAATACATATTAGTTTTAGATAGATAAATATTTATAGTGTACAAATGACTATACACTGCAATAAGTGCAAATGATACAAATAAAATTCACAAGAAATCTCATATTTAGTAATACATTGTATTTTTAAAATTATATATATATATATATATATATATATATATATATTTAATCTGTTAACATACCAGTATGTGAATCAAAATCAGCAATGTGCTTGCAGCAACCCAGCACCAAGCAAACCCCAAACACAAGAAAGTTCTTGTTTGTTGAACTTGTAGTAATATATAATAAAAGAAATAATAAATAACAAGTAAAATTACAGTGAGAAATTATAAAAAATTGCAGCATATTAGTAAAGGCAAATTACCCTTCAAATAAATCACACAATTTACACTCGAGTGTATATGGATATGGAAAATCGTAAAAGTAATCGGACAAAATGTATTTATTATTATTTTATATGTTTCAGCGTAGTATGATAAAACTTTCAAGCACAAAAGTATTAAATTGTATAATGAGTATTCAAATCACATATTATTATACAAGGATACCATTACCACAAATCCTGCTAATCAAAACCACCTCAATCCATGTCCAATAGAAGTCCAAATACGTTTTCAATTTAGTAGATTAGATTTAATTTAGATAGATTCTTTAGTAAAATGTGGGTTTTCTACATCTCAATGAAGGCTCAAAACCTTAGCAATTTAAAATTTGAAAAATATTTGATAATTTTCATACTCACACCACATTACATCAACTTCGATCGGTTTTGGTTCCTCCTCGCGAATACTGTAACGTCTTCGGCCGCCGGAATCCAATGCTTTTTGTATCTCATCGCTCATATTATTATATGGTTCTGTAGGGTTTACCAGAGTATCTAGTGCAAAACCTAGATAGAGGCAAAATCTATCAATTTTTTTTATTTCACTCCATAACTGACTAAGTTTTGCATATGATAATATTAAAGAAATTATATCTCACCTAATCCAAGAAGCCTATCAGATCGTAAGTACATCAAGTAGCTGAGCACTACATAAAACGCTGTGAGAACATATGCTGAAACTTCTAAGCAATAAATCAGCAGAGCAATCTGAAAAACGCAGTTTTTTGCAGCTTATATTTTGCTTGAATGAATAAAGAAAAATAATCAATAATAAATTTATGATAAACTCGATTATAGTCACATATATCATGATAGACAATTGAGAATTTGAAAAATAAATAATATAATTAATAAATATAATTTCTTTTAAATCTCGTCAGAATTTCGAGAAACCGAAGTAGAAATTGAAATTTTCGAAATGTATTGATATTCTTATTATCTTGAATAGCCTAAAGTTTGTATGATATTATTTGTAATAACCAGAGTGGTGTTGTTGAGCCGGAACGCGCCGGAACATCGTTCCGGCAAATCATTTTTGGGCCGAAACGCGTTCCGGCAAACAAAACAAAAAAATATCGCTACATACAAAAAGCTATTTGATAAGTGAATTTTATGATTTATAATATAACTAAGTTTTGTTAAACGTTCCTATTATTAAAATAAATATACATATATAGGCACAAAATGGGTTTTGTAATGATTTTTGTTTCTTTCATAAGAACCGCCGGTTTTTGGATCGGATTTTTAATTTTAGGGTTCCGTTAAAAAAAATGTTAGCACAACACGGTAATAATATGTTTAGTAAATACACACTTGATATTATCAATATATATATATATATATATATATATATATATATAACAACTAATGTTATATCTATGTGGACAAGTAATGAATTCAAATAACTATTAAACTTACAAAACATTTAATCAGTTTTCGCTGAGCCGGACCCCACTCTTTGTCGTAAGCTGATCTTGCAATTATCCAATTCAATACTGCTAAAACAAGAACTCCAAAAATTAATAAATTAGAGAGGTAACGAATGCCAAACAACCTAAAAATAGTACCAATTTATATTATAATATAATTTAAAAATTATAAATATAATATTTTTTAAATAAGCAAAAAGACTTACTCTGGACATCTTTGTCCAATTGTAAGGGCATAGTTCAGAATTGCGTTGAGCGGTTCCGTGGAAACCAGTACGAATAGGGAAGCGCAACCCACCATCGACAAGCTTACAACGGTTGGTTCTCTCATAGGAATCATGATTGGAATCTGGGTTGGAATTAAAATTTTTAATAAAAAAAATTGAATTTGAAATTAAATACAAAATAATTAAATATAAATATAAAACTAAATATTTGTTATTTATCTTCTATATATATAAAAATAAGTCGGGTTTTCCTTCCTGACGAAATAACTCTAGATCGCACGAACCGATTTCGACAATTTTGCATTCTTTGGAAAGGTCTCGGGCTCCGCAAGGTTTATAGCTAAGAAAATTAGTGGTGCATGGCATCGTGCCCTAATGTATATTGCTGGAACTTCACGCACCGCAATTAAAAATTCGAGTAATAAAAATAATCAATAATTGTTTTAAATAATTGCAAATACATTATCTTCTATATATATAAAAATAAGTCGGGTTTTCCTTCCTGACGAAATAACTCCAGAACGCACGAACCGATTTCGACAATTTTGCATTCTTTGGAAAGGTCTCGGGCTCCGCAAGGTGCCCTAATGCAAATTGCTGGAACTTCACGCACCGTAATTAAAAATTCGAGTATTAAAAATAATCAATAATTGCAATTGTTTTAAATAATTGCAAATAGATTATCTTCTATATATATATAATATATATATATATATAAAAATAAGTCGGGTTTTCCTTCCTGATCAAAATTTTCCTTTTCAAATATAAAATAAACAAAAAATTTCTTCATCTTTCTCACGAAACCATCTGGTGGCGAAACGGAGTTCGTCGGGTTTGCTAGTACAAATATAGATTTTACTTATAAAACATTTAGTATATAATAACAAAAAAATGCTAGTTTTATAAAAGTCTAGTTTTGTTTAAAATCAGCTTTTCCCACCATCGAAAATTATCAAACAAATCTTTTAATTAAAGTTGAAAATGAATATTTAATACTTTTATTTGTAATACTAATAGTATTACAAATGCCAAAAAACGTGTTACCGTTTTTGGCATTTTTTGCCCCGTATCTTCGGAACGGCTAGACCTGCCTCAACCAAAAACTAATCAGCACGTCTCCTTATCAGTACGAATCGAATGGTTTTTAAATTATTTAAATCGGTTTGACCGGTGTTCTCGAAATCGTCGACGAAAATTGTATCCGAACACACACA